TGGCCGCCCCGTGTGAATAATTTAGCCCTAGCCAATCACGGGGAACGAATTTACATACCAGTGGCGGGAACTCCTTTGCACCGTGCATTCCTCTTGCAACATGAGCAATGCACCCTGCAAAAGAAGCTGCAGAAAAGGCGGGAAACTCGTCCCTGCACCGGGGTTTCCTTTTGCTACAGGAAACTCTCCCGTGCAATGCTCTGCAACTTGGCGGGGATAATTCTGGTGCCGAAGCGCACACACAATCATGCCTTTTGGGTCATGACACTTAGTAAACATATTTGTATTTTTTCCTCCTTAGTGTGACTGACTGGTGCAGATAGATGGGGTTTGTTTTTTGTCTTCACAAAGAGCTGATGATGAATTGAAAACAATCTACACCTTCTCATTTTGAAAGCAGAAATCCCAGTTCCTTCCAGATTCTCCTGAGGAATAGCTAGTGCCATAGTTCAGTATATCCTTTGGAGCACCTTGAATTTGTCTCAGCTTTCAGCATGGTAAAACAGGAAAAGAGGCTATAAGAGAGATTGTTCAGGGTCAACAAGGAGTATCTAGGAAATTATGCTTTTATCAGCTGTCCAGTGGGTAAATATATATTAATTCAGAGGAAGCCTATGCTGGTGGAGCGCTGATGCTAATTTACTGGGTATTCAGTACATTCTACTGCTTTGCACTTTTTCTGGCCTTCCTTTTTTAAGTACTGTCCCTGAGGTTCATGTATTGTGAGATTACATGAATCAAAATTACTCAGACTGAACAAAAGATACCGGAGATGGAGAGAGGAGTACCGCCCAATTCCTGCAAAACAGAAGAGTTTCTCAATGATCACCACATTCTCATGAAGACTGAGACTGGATGCCATTGTTGTTACTTAATGCAAAACTGTCAAATTTAAGATGTTTATTTGGCTGAAAATACTGTCAATTTTTATTCCAAAAGGTGTGTAAATCTCACTCAGGCATTCTTGGAAAAGGCTTAGCACTGTCTCATTCACCAACAATAATAGAAGCTCTTGAAGGGAACCTTCCACTGCAGATGCAAAGCAATGAACAATCCTTTTTGGAAGATTTCATTACCTGTGTACCAGGTTCAAGTGGTGGACGGCTTGCAAGGTAATGTAACTTGTGGGCCTGTAACTTAATTTTTTTATTTTTTTTACAGTTGTAGTAAAATAGAGACTTCAAATGCTTTAGTTTGCTTATGACTTTGATTTTAATTATGTACTAAAATTTTAAAATTTCTTTTGTAGTTTTATGGTTGTTTTGTATTAGTATCAGCATAAAGGAAAGCTGTTAAATTGCTCCTAGAGTTTTTTTTTTCTCCCATTCATCATGGGGATAATGAAGTCTTATCTTAGAATTGAGTGCTTGCAGGCAGCTCCAAGTCCTGTTCTGTTCCCCTTTTAACCAGTTCCCTTGCTGTTCTCTGGCTGCTTGCTGAGCCAGGGAGCAGTGGGAGAGTCAGCCCCAAACTGGAGAGTAGTCCAAAATCCAGCACTGCTTTCCCTGTAGCTGTCT